AATCTTAACTATAGTCAATATTTTGCATAAAACAGAGACTGCGGTACACATCTATATTATGATTCATAACTTTATGTATATATAAGTATAGAGGGTTTGTGAAGATTGCTTGATTTTTCGCTTCATACCACAAAACAACTTTTAGCTTGGTAACCATTTAAGGCTTAAAAGCCCTACTCAACTGTTTCATCTTAGTGTATTACTCTTCGGCAGTGCGGAGGTTCGAACCCAAGACCTTAGGGAAATTGTTACAAGCATCCAAATATTAAACTAATGAGTCGGTATCCAAGGGGTTGCAAGCTTAACTTTAATCACTTCACGGTGTTAAATAATAACTATACAATGTCATTGTGGAAATCTACCTTACACCAGGAATAATTGAAATTCACAGCTTAAACAAATAAATCAGTGAACGCCGGTTCAGTGGTCTAAATGTTGTCCACCTGAATGCCTGAAAGTCCCGGGTTGTCTTGAATACACACTACTGAGTAGTCCCATACTAGGATAGTTGTTTTTGACAATCATTTAGCTAAGGTCATATCGTGATGAAAACTATAAAAACATTTTAAATAAAGTGTCCTGTCTTTATCTGAACACTTAAGGCTCTACATAGAGTTGTGTTATACTAGAATTGATTACAGTTGGGTACGTAGACCTATTTCAGTCAACTCAGATGGTTTCATGAGTTTCACGAGGCATGGTTTTATTAATGAACTATGTTGATCTTAGCATTGAGTATTGATGAGGTTTCCCAAGTTAGGACGAAACGTCGGTTGTATGTTTTCTTCTTTTTACATGGTTCTCAAACCGATGTAAGTTTACGATAGAAATTACTTTAGAATATTAAAACTATACACAAAGCAGAAGAAATTTTCTCAATTAACTATAGAGTTATTATGATGTAAGATTTGTAAGTGTGAGTACATGTAATTCATATCTGTTCAGATGATTTTGTGTTAGCTAATATGTATATAATCAAAAAGGGGTTTTGTGGATATTATAGTAATTTAATAGTTGAGTTCATGAGTCAATTGAAGCTGGACCATTATGGAAAACCTGGCAGCATTGAACGACCGGCTCAGAGGTTTGGAGGTTAGGCGTTCGCGCTCGCGAGACCGATAGGTGATGAGTTCAAATCGCACGAGCGGGATCGCAGATGTTTGCTATTATTTATTTATTTAGACACAAATATTAGTACAAGGGGTAACCAGATACATATGCGCTACATAAAACTCATTTGATTTTTGTGAGGGCTGTGATACTGCCTGGGTGCCCGAAACAGAGCAGGTGGTTTCTTCGGGGCCACACCCGGAGCCTTTGATCTAATGGTCTAATCCACAAGGCATTGGAGCAACGTCAGGAGATGCAGTTCCATGGTAGCCGGTGACCAACGATTGGTTCATACGACATTTGTTTCTTCAGGATACTGGAGACCATGTACGCCATTGGTTTAGAAACAGGGTTTTCCAACTTCCCTAGGTGAACTCTTTGTGTCCGTCAACCTGGAGAGAGAGAGAGCGGACTCTCCCCACTCTCGGCCGTACCAGGGCATTTGGTGGCACTGCTGAGGAATCCCATACTAGGACGAAATGGTCATCCAGTGCTTCCAGGTTTCCTATGAAGATCTAGCTTCCGTTCCTCTTCAGGATTCCAGATTAGCGCAACAAAATAACTGAAGCACTCACTATCAAAGATCAGAGACTATTCGTCAGTGATTATGTTCCTGGTTACGACGCTTAGATTTAACACCACGCAACAAATAAACAAGGTCTACCGTCGTGTGTGAGTTGGTAATGTGCTAATTAAAATAGACTTAATGCGCTGATCAACTACAGAATTGATAAAATAAAATTTATATCATTCGCCAGGTACTTGGGTATGAGTCATAATTTAAGTGTAAAGGCTGCCGAACCTACGCTATTGCCCAAACCAATATATGCGGAGTGGGGTTCAAACCTAGGCCAAAGTATCTAAAAATCATTTCTTCGAATATATTTGTAACTATTTGATTATGTAATAGTACTTAATTTATTATCATCTAACAAAATATTTGGTGAATAATTACCTGATACAAATCTAAGTAATCTTATATGATCAGAAAGTACATTGTAAACTTGAGTTGTCGTACATTAGATTCATTTTAGAAACTAAGATCATATATACATATATAACGTTTCAGATCTTTACAGATAAAAGATCGAAAGATAGCTTACGGCTAGAATATGCAAGTTTGTTGTCGAAACAATTATCTTCTAACTGGTGGATCCCCAGTTCAGCACAAAGTCCAATAAATAAATGTGTACTTGGTAAATAACTTACATAAACCAATAAGAGTGCGTATAACAGTGAAATTTAACTATAACGATCGATAAAATGCCCTTAAGAAAACTTTCATAAATCAGGAAACAAGCTGATTTGAGCAACTTACGATGTTAAGTAGAGTGAATTACAAATTATATAGCTTTCCCTCTCCTGATGCATTTTTTAAGATCACTTATCGGTTCTTTTGTCTTGAGGCCAATAAAGAACATTCAAATAACTTATAAACATCATCACTTACAAGGTTTTATATGTTTGTAAGTAGTATCCTAAACGACCTCACATGACTTCCAGGTTTCTTGGTGTTTATTGTCTTAGTGAATATATCATCTCAAGAGTATTCACTTTTACTCAAGCTGTTGTACTGTATACTATCCTTACACATCTATAAGAGCGGTTTTGGCAATCATTTCATTTCACACTGTTGAGTCGGCTTCTGAGAACTACAACGGAGCCTCCAGTAACCCTAAAGGAGCCGAGGAGTTTCCAACTAATCAGGATATGATGGAGCTTTCTAAAATATCAACGTGGCATGGTACTATTGGACAATAGCATAATATGCCTTTACGGATTGGCTGAATCGTAAAGATTTCACAAATGCTAATATCTATAAATACCCTTGATTTTCTGTACACTTCGATTCTTACCAAATAAACACTTCCCCAACTTTTTTAAAAAAAATGAGGTGTTATATCCCCATGAGAATAATAAATGGCATCAATTACTTCATTCACATGTCGATCTTCTTCAAGTAATAAACGTAAAAAATAGTTGCCAACACGTGGTTCTTCGATTAAACTAGGATAATCCACTTTAAATTCTCCATAATTCCATGAAACAGGACTTGCCTATCATAAAATCATTGAAAGTAAACAAACAAATAGAGGAAATCAATTTACATGAAACTATAGAATTGAAAAAGAAATAGAAAGTATGAAAGTACAACTATGTAAAATACTGTCAACCCCTTTAATGAAAAGCATGGTAACAATTTATAGTTTCCCATTACAATATCGATAACTCCTATTAACAAGTCGGTAGAGACTATTGGGTTCCGGTAGCGTATATCAAATAAATATTATGTACGGTAAATCAATTCAGTGAACTCGAAACACATAGTGAACTAAGGTAATTTAAATGTGTATTGATAAAGTTGCCACAATGATTATGAGCATTGATAGCGTATAATGTAAACGGTAAAGGCGATGAATAACATTAGATAGTGACGCAAAAAATCAATAAGTTGACAGGGGTTAAAAAGATATCAGTTAATGAAATAATAGTGGAAAAACGATGATACATAGTATAAAACAAAAATGAAATGGATCTTTATTTATGAAAGTGATCTACATATCCATGCTTCACCACTGTGAGTTGGTTATCATCAAGGTAAACTAAATCAAAGCACAGTGTCAATTTATAAAGTATTCAACTGTTAAACTGATCTATGATCAAGTCTAATGATATAGACTTCACAATAGACAATGTTGATATAATCATAATCTGTATTAGAGCCTTGAATATATGATAAAGATTACTAGACTCTAGTCCTCTGATGCTTGTCAATATTATTTCTGTTATATCCCGATAAGAATAATGAATGGTAACTTTTGGGATCTATTTACTATGCGTAAATTTTATTCATATAATTGTTGAATAACTAAACTATACATATTCATGTTTCTCTTATTATGCGCCTTATTTTAACCTATGAACTGTTATTATACGATTTACCATTCTTAAGTTATTCCCTGCCTATCAATTACTATCTCCCTTATTCACAGCCACATTTGGCCAAATCTTGTACAAATGTTGTTTCCTATTTTATGGTATGATGTAGTCTGTCTGGTTGGTATATAAACCCAGTATGTTTGAAATACATGATTCATATGACAAAGGCTGAGATTGGTGCTCTGGACTTAACAGGCAGGGCTAGGCGGGAAGCAGGACCGATAAGAACTCTCGAGTGCTCGTACTTGTTTTATGCGTCGTTGGTCCAATCGATAATTCGCTATTCTGTAATTGGCGGTATCATCACGTTGTACATTAAATAGGGCACACGTTATAACACACACTATCCAGTACTGTCATCTCTAACAAGAATAAATATGAATCTCTTCTGTTTAATTCCTTTTTGTCGCTAATTCATGGTAAAAGAAAATATCACACCGTTTCATTTTTGTTTAAATTCTTTGTCAATAATTTCACGTCCACATTATCAAGTACTATCAATTTTTCAATAATCCGACATCTTATAATTAATAATTGAGTTCATGAGTCAGCGCGCATCCACGATTCCGCTCGCGGGACTCGAACCCAGGACTTATCGGTCTCTCACGCGCGAACGCTTAACCTCTATCCCACTGAGTCGGCATTCAACGGCATTAATGTTAAACATCAACCAATCCACGAAATTCCTCCACCATCCACCATTGTCTTCAGTGAGTTACTATCTCACAACAGACTCGATTGAACTCCACTGGTCATGGCTTCTTATAGTTAGCTTATTATATTTACTTTATTAAAATAAATGATTATACAGATGATACTTATGATGTTAATTTGATAATATAAATTTTTATATTGATCATCTGTAATACATCTTTGATTAAGCTAAACTATACTATCTAATTTAACATTGAAATATTCATTAAGATAATCATTGTAAATGATCCTTACAGACTTCATTATTGATGGTACACACATATGCCTCCGAATGCCCTGGTACGACCGAGAGTGTGGAGAGTCAGCTCTCCCACTCAAAATGCTCTCACATGACCACACGTATACAGCCACTATCATGTAAGTCTTCCTCACTGTTTTCTCTAGGCAGGGGTGTTGTTTACGAAATTGAGGGACGAAAAGCAAATGTCCGGTACTTTAACCGAGTCGATGGATATGATAGATCCACATAGGAGAGTTGGAAGACCCTCATTTCAAACTAATGGTGCACATGAACTCCAGGATCCTGAGGGAACAAATAGCGCCGGCTATCATGCACCTGCATCTCTACTGCCTTGTGGATTAGACCTTTATATCGTAGGCTCTGGGTATGGTCCCCTAAGAAAATCACTTACTTCGGTTTGGACACCCGGGCATCATCCCGGCCCACACACAAATCAAGTGAAATGTGAGGTACACATATGTATTCGATACCCCTTTGTATTAATATTTCTATGTTCAAATAAATAAATAAAACACACATATTAAATACAAGAAATATATTTCAATGTTTATTGGCACATATACGTATCTTATTATTAGTTCCATTTTACTTCAAATAATAATAAGTATGAATCTCCTATAATGTTGTTATATAATTTATTTCTATATGTAATTGTATAAACCTAAATATAGGTTTTTTTGTTTTGTTTTTTGTAAATAAATTATGTAATTATGTGTAAATCTACTAATCTAGACTTGAGAAGAAGAAGAAGAAGAAGAAGAGATCAGACAATTGAAACTGATCATATTTTTGTTTATCTATTAAGATTGTTGTTCCTTTTTTCTTTCTCTTTCTCTTCTTTTTTTTAAAAAAAAAAGAAGAGGAAGAGAAGTGTTGTCAAATGTTACTTTCTTTATAAAAGAAAAAGAAAAGAAAGAAAAGGAAAGAAGAAGAGAATGATTATGTCGGTACTATAACGGCTAATTCCCCTGAATTTATGATAGAACTACGATTATTACTATTATTATTATTATTATGAATATTATTTAAATAAATTGACCAATCAATATCACGAAGTAATAGAAAATCTTTTAATGGTACTGGTATAGGTAATAATGGTAATGCTTCAATAAGACGAAAACCTAAACGTTGTCTTATCACTTTACGACACCATTTTTGTAAGGATTTAACTTCAAGTAAACCATTATAACGTCGTGTTAAAAGATTTTGATTAATGAAATGAGAATTTTTAACTGTTGAATTGATTGTATTCGTTTCGGGAATATTATTGTTCGACGACGATGATGCTGAAGATGACGATGAGGATGATGAAGTTGTACATACTGACGGTATACTATTTGAATTAATTGGTAAATGTGTACAAAAACAACCAACTTCAGCTAATATTCTAGCCATATCAAGATGTCCACGTTCTAATGCCATTTTAAATGGTGATTTTTCAAATGAATTTATAGATGTTCGATTATTTGATTCTGATTGAATCATTGATGTTGTAATAGTATTTTGTGTATTTTTCAATAGAGTTTGATGATTTAAAGATGAAAGTAAATGTATATTCGGTGGAAGACGTTTAGCTGGTCTATCCAAATCATAATTATATGCAAGAAATAAACGTAATAATTCTAATCGATTATATGCAACAACATCGTGTACAAATGATTCTCCCAAATTGTTATAATTATATTCGATATACCAATTACCTGTGGTAATGTATATATAAAATGAAGTTAAGAAAATATAAAAATTGATGTACGTTGGTCTTTATGTGCTAAACATACTCATTCTATCTGAAATGATGTTATATCACATAAAACACGTGGACATTGGTACAAGTAGGCATCAAGTAAAAATGCAGTACATAAATCACTCAGTTTGTGCGACGGCCGGGATACTGCCCGGATGCCTAAACCGGAGTAGATGGTTTTCTTAGAGGACCACGCCATAAGCCTTCGACTTAGAGGCCTAATCCACGGGTCAGTGGAGCGACGTCAGGAGACGCAGTCGCATGGTAGTCGGTGATTGACAATAGGTTCATACGACTTCTCATCCCTTGGGATCCCGGAGCCCATGTGCAACATCGGTTTAGAATAAGGGTTTTTCGAATCCCCTAGGTGAACCCTTCGCGTCCACCAATCTGGTTGAAGCGCTGGACATTCTCTTTTTGTCCTCTCAATTCCTTAATTGACTGTCCGTTCGCTTGAAGGCAGTGAGTAGTACTTCCCTGGTAGTGGTTGTATGCACGTAGCCATGTGAGAGCATTTCAAGAAGGAGAGCTGACTTCCCCCACCCCCGGCCATACCAAGTCATTTGTGGGCTATGTATTACAACTCATTTAGTGTTTCAAAACAATACTGAAAAAAGACGTATCACGGTTCTACTCAGTCTGTTCAGTGAATGCATAAATTCTATTTTATAAAAATTACGTGAATGCTATCTCCTTTACAATATTCACATGTGTCTTATTGCCATTCTCGTTGTTTTGAACACTGTTGGGTCCCCTCGGAAATCGGACTCTTTAGGTGCCTTGTTCGTTTTATATAATTAGTGAGGTATTCTCAGATAAGGACTCACATCAATAAAGGGAAACACTGAGGATAAAACTGTACTCACTAAGAATCGTTTAAAGTGTTGTTTATCATCATTAATTCTGATTGTAAACTGGGAATCAGATGTTCAATATTAGTATCAACCGAGGACGTTGACAGTTCGACTGGGCATGCATCACCCTAGCAACTTTTATAGCCCAAAATGAAACGCTTGATTCAGCGAGACTACAAATTATGAACGAACCAAACAGGTGTAAGATAACAGGTCTCGGATTTTTGTGCGAAATCCACTCATCCATTTTGATAAATACAGTTTTGGCATTAGAGATTATGTCAATTCGTGTTGAAAACGCGAAATCTAATTCTTAACCTTAATCATTAACGGTAAATTATAATTATAATTCCTCACACAGGTTGATAAACCTTATTCGGTGCTGTTCATTAAGTGAACACTCTCAAGGTTAGTCTACCGTCGCTCAAAGGTTGTCCATAAATTATAGTCTCACCCTTGATTCATTAGAAAAAAAACCCCGTCCCGTCCAAGGTATTAACCTTTATGAATAGCCTTGCTGTAAAATCAATAGCATCCTAGATTTTAATGAAAAATCATGAATCATAGAGATCGATATCATTGATAAAATGATTGATTGACTTGATCCAATCGAAAACTAACTTAATAAATTAAACTATTTAATACAAGATGAATGATCTAAGAAGATCTTGATGTCAGAATGAAACACTGTGTACCCCATTGTTAAAGAGTTTTAAAGTAGAATTATACAACTATCCTGTATATCATCTAGTAAAGAGATTACTGATTTACCTGCTCTTAATAATATTTCTACAATATGTATATAATTCTTTTTCACAGCAATATGTAAAGCTGTATCACCAGTGCAAAAATCTCTTTTATACAAATCAATATCTTTATGTTTTATCAATAAGCTAACAGCTTCTCGTTGATTATATGATACAGATTCCATTAATGGTGTTAAACCAATTTGATTTTGTGCGTTTAAACGTGATTCGGCCTGACAAAATAAATAAAGAAGAGGAAGAAAAAGAAGAAGAGACATTAAATAACACTTATGTAATAATTGAGTAATGACCTATAATAGTACAAACTTGACATGACATACATTGTCATATTTGACCATAAGGATAACGATTTGTGTTGCCTAAGGTTGTCAAACATTGACTAAACCATTTATATATTTGCCCCTATTGTACTCTGTGATAGTGATTGTTCGTGTGTGAAATATAATGGCAGCTGAGACCAATCTATTTACATGATAAACCAGGGTGGTTAATGTCAACATGGGTTACCTTTGGTATTGTCATGAGACTAGTCTGGCCTTAAAAAGGTTGGTAAGAGGATTTCTTATTTTGTATTTATAAAATCCGACTAATTGACTTTTAGAATTCCTAGTAATCGTTTGTATTCAATAATCGTTGTTGTTTAATTATTATTGTGATGAGTAGAGAGATTGTGTAATTAGAACACAATTCTAGCAATCGATATTCTAGTACAGTGATAATAATTCAGTTAATGTCACTATCTTAAAATATCGGCTCCAGTACCTTGAATGTATTCCGTGAAGGTTGTTCAGTGAGTAAATCGTTTGGTGTGAATGACATGTGAAATTGAGTTCTTTTTCCAATTAAATAACATGTATTCATATCTCAAGAAGGGTTATAGATGCTTGAGTGTACAACATAGTAAATATTTCTCCATATAGAAAGTTACTGAATGATTAATGTTAAATACAAGTAAATTCAACTCGTACAAATCTAACTTTAAATAAATCACATAAAATGTGGTATATTGAAAAATCATTTTTTAATTTAATAGTTGCTGTTGTTGCTACCTTGACGTGGTGGTCGGGCTTACTTATCGTGATGAACCAATCGAGCTACATTGGCTGAAACAATCGTTCCTCAAGGTCCTAACATGTCAGACAGGTCGGTTGAAGGACGGTAAGATTAAAAACAGCAAACCCAAGGTCCGAAGACGAAGCCGTACTGTACCGAGGTGTGACGGCAGTAAGTTGTTTCCTTCAGACAACCAGCATAACAGCGATGCTGCCTTCCCACAAGGAGGGGTGGGGTTAGAGAATGTCGACTCTAAAACTGCACACTTCGCCTTATCCCACGGATATCCGTCTCCAGCGGTAAGGTCTCAATAAGTACGCAGCTAACAGGAAAACTACTCATAAAAAGGTCGTGTGTGACCGACCTCAAGCAGTTGTTTCTTGGACACTGCGGTCACGCTCTCAGGTTATTAAGACCACCTCTAACCCAATTTCCTTTTCAGGTGCTTCCAGAAGAACCCTTCGACGATGTGGGCAACCGGGAAGTGATAACTGCCCTCATACCTCTAACAGCACTCAAGACTGTCTGACTGAATTAAATAGTTGAATTCATGGGTCGATTAAAGCTAGACCACCATGGAAAATCTGAAAGCACTGGACGGCCGTTTCGTCCTAGTACGGGACTCTTCAGCAGAGCGCATCCACGACCCTGCTCGCTGGATTCCAACCCAGGGCCTATCGGTCTCGCGAACGCCAACGCTTAACCTGTAGACCACTGCGTTGACATGCAATGGTGTTAATATCTAACTTTAACAAATTCTTCTGAGAAGATCATTTTTGGATGCATTTTGAGAGTCAGATAATTCTTTATCAATAGTCTTCGCCTTTTATAATTCATGCCTTTTCTCGTACGTTCATCAAATTGCCGTGAAGATTTAGTCTGATATTATTAGAAGCAGTTAAGAATTCAGATTGTGAGCGTTCAGTATGCAGACTTATCAAAGAGATGGTTAGTTAATAACATGATATAACTGTCACATTATAATATCATCAGGATTTCATAACACTTGATGACTGAAATAACATTTTCATTCATATACATCAGCCTAGAGAAATTCGAACTGTTAATTCTTATATATTCAACTTA